CGCAAAGGAAACTGAGGAAGCCGTATCTACACAGCCATGTCAGCTTCATCGCAGAAATTGCACGCTCTAGACGCAAAATCTACGCGCCTGCACCATCTTCCGGTCGCAACACTTTCCACCCACAGCGATTGATATTGAGATCTGCATGCTCTCTCGAACGGAAGCTCTCTGACGTGTTTAGCCTTCTTCCGATCGCCCTGCCTCGCCATCGTACCACATCCGACCTTACTGAAGGTTGAATTATTTTAGCGTTATTTCAGCGTTTCCGAAGATTTCCCTTCCTTTCCTTTCACCTTTCAGTACATTACGCAGCTCAGTCGTCTCTTAGAAGCGCTCTTATACACCAGTTATCCAGGGGTTTGCCTTTAATTCAGTATATCATCTCCAAATAAGCGATTACAAGGTAACGAAAAAGGTTTTTTTTTCTGCGTATGTTAGCTGAAGGTGAATGAGATGGAAATCTGGAGTTCGATGAAGATTAGCAAGCTCACTTTTTCGACATTCGGATGGCAGAGATAAAGCGAGGAAGAAGGAGGAAGCGAGGAGATGGGATGGATCTCAACAACAATACGTATTTTAACCACAAATGCCTGTGATTAAATGAAAGAACCAGCGACAGCGGCTTTCCAAGCATCTCTACAGGGCGTTTCATTGTATAAGTTTTGAGGTTCGATCCGGTCTAAAGAGATTACCAGCACTGTCCTAATGTATCACCGGTGTGATGACCTTAATTCTTAGCTCTAAATTTCGGTAAGACAGGGGTGCTGTAGTGCCAAAATGGGCCGCTTCCGCTTGTATGGGCCGGAATCCCATTTCAATCAAAATAAAAGTCAAATAAAATGACTAAAATAAGTAAATCACCTGATCAACCAAATCTCTGTAAGTAATTGATCGCTTCCAAAGGCGAAGCCTACGGCACAAAGCACATCAATAGATTCATGCCATTTGCCATTTGCCGGGTTTCAGGCACTTTTCTGCTTTTCTTTAACACATTGACGATAACGCGCGTTTCGGCTTTCTGGCCACGCCAAGCGCGATTTTGCGAGCGCATTCGTGAACTTCGAGTGATAACTTTACAAAATATCAACGGGACACAATCATTCCAGCAACATCCACTACGAAGAGGTTACTTGGAGGAATGTGGTGGAGAAGAATGTGGAGAAGAGGTTACTTGGAGGAATGTGGTGGAGAAGAATGTGGAATGGTAATGGAAGTACGAATTTTAGTCCTTTTCACTGGAATCCGAGTCAAAGTAGTTTTGACGTGTGCGCCAAAAAAACGCGTACTTTCTGGTCCATCTAGGTTCGTGCTTACCTATGCTACTCCTTTTTGTTAAGATATTCATGAGATAGAAGCAGTCATGCAGACTGCCCCTGTTCAGCTGAAGGTGAGGGAGCAACAATGTCTGTGATGGTATGGGCATGTGCTAAGGAGGCCACAGGACCACCCGATAAGAAAAGCAATGGACTTCGAAGCGCAAGGCAAGCGACCGCGAGGAGCCCCAAAGAAGAGGTGGAAGGACGTAATCAAGAAGGACCTAAGTGAATCACGGCCACAGCAGAAGATGCCCTAGACAGAGCGAAGTGGCGACGACTGATAAAGACAGCGGACCCTGCGACTGCGCGGGACTAACGCTAGGGAGAAGAAGAAGATTAATGAGAATAGGAAGAAAACGTGAGTAGAACCGAGCTGCCAGTGTGGCTGCGCTTGAAAAACCTCTGCCAAACTGGAGCATGTCTTACCATAAGGTGAACTTTGTCATTCACAGTTATGTGATCCATTTTCGAAAGTTGACTTGCAATTACAATTTATCAACGGGCCTGCCTTGGAGAATTCCAAAATGCACCAGAGAAAAGCACAAAGGGTGGACGCAGAAACTTTAGATGCCTGCAACGACTTTTTTCGCTTTTACATATTTCTATTCTGTAACTGTTCAAGTAGGTTTCGTTGAACTTGAATTTCAGTAACCGTGGCGAAACCATTCACCGTTACTCCACAGGTTTCCTGTCGAACTCTGAAAATTGTCGAGATTAATGTCACAAAACGTGATGTGCGAAACGACACAGTGATGATAAGTGGGCTAAACGATTGTATAATCTCTATAAACCTGTAACAAATTCCTGTAACTTCATTCTTGAGGAACTGGTATTTTTCTACTGTATAAAAGACGCTGATCTTGACATGCACGTGGAGCAATCGAATATTTGCGCTTCATTTCATTGAATGTTCACATTTCATTCTAGAATTCTCGAAAATGACCCGGTGCATAGTTGATCAGATTCTCAGAATGATTCATGTGGGACCATATGTAGGTAACTTGGTTCACAGCTTACCATGAACTCTGATTCTTTCGCTTGGTCAAAATAACCGAACTAGCGCGGCTCGCGGCGGTGCTCAGACATTCCTCATAAGACTGCGGATGCACGCTAATTGGTACCGTTTTTGCCGTGAGAAAATGCCAATGGCAGCGCCACTCGTTCGTTGATCATACGCAATCGTGGAAGCCATTAATGATCATCGCTACAAGTTACGCTAACTCGATTACTGCTCCGATTTTCTATTTTCTTTCTATTTTTTTCTATTTTTGACCGCATGATTCTTCAAAACTCATGGAAAGAGTGTTGGGGTTTTACTCGTATATTTGTAGAAAGGATGGCAATTAGAAACATAAGAATGGTTCCCTAAATGATTGTCTCTGGCCTTCACACAACTCTTCGAACCTCTGGCTTTGAGTGAGGCACGCAGGTATTCCGTGAATTTCGTCTTAGGGATCGTCTCAGGACTACAGAATGGAAATCCTGCTACCAAAGCTCCATGATTCTCGACAAATCTGAAGCTTCGAATTGGAGTGGATATATGTCACCTTCTCAAGATTATGTGAAAAACACTAATTTTGAAGCCCTTTCGTATGATCTTCTCACCCTTCAAGTCAAAAACGACCTCTGGCATATTATTGACACTTTTTTATCTGTAGTTCTTGAATTCCCAGCGTCAGCATAAAAATTGCAAGGCAATGAAATTCTTTACCATCCTGTTCTCTCTATCCCAGAAAGATAGTTAAAATACACAATTGTGGCAGATTTCAAGTGTCTTTTGTGTCGCCATTTAATTTTCTCTGGTATTTATCACAAGGGCGGATGTGGTTTAGTGGCAAGGGGCGCTGCTTACCACAAGTAGTCCTGCGATCGAATCCTGGGGTGTGCGTCGCCCGGGCCAACCAAGCCTTCCATCCCTCTCAATCGTTAATTGTACCAGGAGGATAAAAAACACTGACTTGTACATCGGCTGGCCCCCGCAAGTCATTGTATAGGCCACATCGCATTCAAACGCCACTACGAATGTACAAATGGAAGTAGAATGCGTGCCGCATCCCAAAAAGGGACAAATTAGGGCTAAGGCTTTAGTGTCCAAGTTCGACTTTGCATGAATCTTGGCATATTTTCAGAATAGAATAGTTTAGTACTGAGCTTCCGACCAAGATTGTCAATAGCTTTATTTGGCCGACGTTTCGGTGCTTTCACCTTCTTCAGAGCCTGGAAAAGTCGAAAGCTATTTAGGAAACTACCCGTCCAAGCACTAAGGTTTGGACGGGTAGTTTCCTAAATAGAAAAAGGTGAAAGCACCGAAACGTCGACCAAATAAAGCTATTGACAATCTTGGCCGGAAGCTCAGTACTAAACTATTCTATGTTAAGGCTTTATTCTTTTTTTATTAACCAAATCATCTCTCAAATGATTATTTTGATAAGCCAAATGTTCCGAGGTTCTCGATTCGATGTCTCTTTTTCTTTTACTCAGTGCTTCATGAATCTATAATTCTTCAGTTTCTCATCTACCATAGGCGCTTAGAGCTTAATTTTTCAGAAATGACCCACTTGATTACAATGGTGATCGCAGTGCTTGCCATGTTGACTACAATATTCGCTCAGTGGGGATACGGATTTTATCCCGGCTATGGCTATCCTATGTACGGCGGCGGCTTTGGCGGTTGGGGCGGTGGCTACAGTAAATTTTATTTCTTGTGTGATCTATTTATGTTTTCATCTTACAATCGGAAATGACCTCTTTGCAGATCCAATCCAGGGCGCTGTGGAAGGTGCGGTCTTAGGCGGTATGCTCGGTGCTATGGAGGGAAAATAAGAAGAGAAACATCTCCAAGGAAAAATTAAGTTTATTCTTGCTGCGATTGGACCATTATGTACTTTTTAAGATTCGTGCAGTGGTCAGTTATTGGTAAATACTAAAGCATTATAAGATGCACGCAAACGTCTTTTTAGCCGTGTTAGTTTTATTTATGGTTCTTATTTATAAAAGATGAAGCTCGTTGGCCAATTTGTCAACAGAAGAAAAACCATATACTCGCTGAACAAAGTGGCTTGAAAAGCATCTCCTCGATGGAACGGAGTAGCGTAATCACTCAGTTCACTAGACGGAGCTTAGCTCATTCCGTAGCTAGTGAGGTATGTAGCTGACTAGTGGATTTTTATCACACGTACATAAGCATGTATATGCAGTAAAAGCAAAGCGACAGCATTTATCTATTGTCCAAATAAAGAAAGTACAAGCAACTTTTAACGAAGATTGCAGTCCGAATTTTCAAGTTCTTCTACCCATTTGCGCAACTTGCTCAGTTTCTGGAAGCTAGCGCTGCAGTGCATTGTTACGGAATCGTGGGTAAAGGTTAACCTGTTTTTAGGCATCTGAGGTCAAGATATGGTTATTAATTGGAGCAGTTACCACCTTAGCGAAGATCTTGCATTCAAGATCAGATCCCTGGCCGGACTTCGCTGTGATCTTCTAATCGCTTTGAAACTAATCATTGACATCTGAGAGAACAAAAAGCTAATGTCCACACTGCTTAGCTCTTGCAAGTTCGTTGGTCAGATGTGTTGGCCAAAAAACCTTGCAACTCATATTATGAATATGACACAACCACTGGTTGCGTGACACACCTCAAAGCAGGAGCTAGTCGTTCGTAAAGATATTCTCACTGACACTAGTACAAAAATGATCAAAAACGTTCGCTTAAAGGAATCCTTCACGGAGAAATCATGATTCTACAGTACCTCCCATCTTTGTTAAAAAAGACGCGAAAGACGCGGAAGCGCGTCTTTTTCGTCACTTTGATTTCTTTCACTTTTCGACATGAAAAACTATACCATTAGACTCAGCTCGTCGAGTGCTATTAGAATGCCCTCTCAGATTTTAGAAAATTTCATTTTTCTATTCCAAAGTACCTGAGGCTACTCATTAGCGAGCGTCGCTCGCTATAATTACAGCCAGAGACAAACAGCTTCCACTAGTATTCAGCAAGCCTTTTCGCTTCTTTTTTGTTCTGGAATAGTATGAAAAAAGTGACTAACGTGTTCTTCAGGTGATGCTGATCATTTTGATACCTGATATTCCCTATTTAAGTCAACTTTGTTTAAATCCATTTTTGGAACGAAGTTGCATCTTTGAAGCGAAAAATAAGGAGAATGGGCCAAACTATGACATTAGCTGAATAGTGTACCTCTTCTAATTAACCTACCCTGCTGATAGTAAGCTTTTCAAGTTCCTCTCTGCCACCAGCTGTCAATTTCGGGCCCTTGTTTGAGAGAATTTTCACATTTTTTCATCGAAAGGAAACCTCAAAAGTTATATCATTCGAATACTCATCGAAAACACTATGTAATGATATGAAGGGTAAGTCAGGAATTTTCTCATTATTACTTTCAATTTTGGCATTGCCTGCCTTCTCCTCCCGCGATCACTCGGCCGGTATGCTAATTAGCCGTGTCACCTAGGTTTTCTCTCAGAGGTCGCAATAAATGGTAGATGACCTCAGCGTTTTACTCCACAATTGCCGGAGGACCTCCTTCACACCTCTACAGACGCTCAAAAGTCCGCTAAACCTAGTCGACACGGCTAATTAGCATAGCGGCCGAGTGATCGCGGGAAGGAGAAGGCAGGCAATGCCAAAATTTGAAGTAATAATGAGAAAATTCCTGACTTACCCTTTTATATCATTACATAGTGTTTTCGATGAGTATTCGAATGATATAACTTTTGGGAGGTTTCCTTTCGATGAAAAAATGTGAAAATTCCTCTCAAACAAGGGCCCGAAATTGACAGCTGGTGGCAGAAAGGAACTTGAAAAGCTTACTATCAGCAGGGTAGGTTGATTAGAGAAAGAAACTATTCAGCTGGGGTCATAGTTCCGCTCCGTTTTCTTATTTTCCGCGTCAAAGAAGCAACTTCGTTCAAAAATGGATTTCAGCGAAGTTGACCTAATTAGGGAAAAATGGGTATCAAAATGATCAGCATCCCCTAAAGAGCACATTAGTCTCACTTTTATTCTATTTCTTGATCTATTTCTCAGTAAAAAAGCCGTATAAAGTTTGCAAAATTGTTTAATGGGCGCTGATCTCTCTGGTTATAATTATAGCGAGCGACTAATGAGTAGCCTTAGGCACTTTGGAATTAAAAAATCAAATTTTCTGAAATTTAGAAGGCAGACTCATAGAACTCGACGAGCTGAGTCTAATGGTATAGTTTCCCATGTTGAAAAGTGAAAAGAAATCAAGTTATAACAAAAGATCTTTTTAACAAAGTTATGGGAGGTACTGTATTTCCTCCACATCACTGACTTGAGTCTCATTATCCACGATAAGAATGAAAAGAACAGAAATATTGCTTTTGTTTTGGTAAAAAATTCGAAAAATCGAAAGGGCTGCTACGCGTTCAAAGTGCCCACGGACGTCTTTCACAAATGCTGGCGACGGGGATGCTTCCACTTGGTTCTTGGAGTGCCTTCACTAGAAACTCTTTCTGGCCTTCTGCTTTATTGCATTCACATCTTACACTTCTACCATCCTATTCTATCGATCGATTTGTCTCTACTCTCCGCGCTTTAACCCGATTCTTTCATTGCGTCGCCTGATACGTAGCCGGCCAAAGGCCAACTTCTTTCCATGCCTCGCCTTTGGCTCCGCCCGAATTACCTTCGATTGTCCATAGAGTGTAGTTTTTGTACGTTTGTTTCTCTTCGGAAACCGAATCTTCATGCGTGAAACTTTGTGTGCTATTTCCAGTGATCACAACTGACACATTCATGTTAAGAAAGAATGCAAGAATTTTTCGCGAAAGATTCCTTTAAGACGACCTCGGAAGGTTTCGTTCGGGAGAGAAGCCGAACTGATAGAATGTGAAGAAGCAACTATGGGGAAGACCTTTTTTCACAACGAAACGTGATCGCAGGGTCACATGCAGTGGAATTCCCAATATACCAACCATTCAGTGCTGTAAATTTGACAGACTCTCCAGACTAACCCTTTCTAAGACTCCCAAAGCGCAATGTGTTGCAGACCTGGTAGCGGAAAAGATCTCGCTTCAAAGCTTTGCTCTTCGTGCCTTTTGCCTCCCGCACCCATGCGAGTATGCAGTGCAGACAGTAGTGGAGTCGTGGAATAAATTAGTCATTAGTATCAAAAACCACACGTGACACCGATTATCTCACAGAGCGCAATGGAATAGGTGCCTAATGAATTCGTCTCTCAATCAAGACAAAGAAGAGCTCAAGTCACTTTTTTCAGTTAGATGAATAGATTGAACGCACGAATTTGTCGGATGCCTGGACGTTGCTAAGTGAAAAAAGCATTCTTCAATAGGCCTTGAAAGCTTTCTTTTTCACTTTCAACATATCCCTAATAAAACGAAATATCGGTGACCGCTCCATATACTCCAGGATGGATAAAACATATAAAAACAATTATTTGTGCACTAAAATCAATTCGCCGAAAAAGCTCAAGTTAGCAACGCCAATATATTAGGTCGGTCCATAAGTCTTGCAACAAACTGGCTGAATTTTGAATTTAATATTTTCATTATCTTTTTGTTCCATTCATCCGGCATGCTACCCTCCATCAATATCTACAACCTATTGCCAACACACTAGTAGCTGCTCGATGCCTCCCTTGTAAAACCTCATCATAGTTAGGATGAGCTTTCTTCTCTAGGAGATGGTTTGGAGAGGGGAGCAGAAGGGCATTATTTGCCACGAGGTCAGGGCTATAACGTGAATACGGAAGAACTCTCCGTCCCAGAGTCTCGAAATTTTCCTGAATTTTCTTAGCAAGAGGTGGTTCAACGGTGTCATACAAAAGCAAACTTTGCCTTGTTTTTCTTTCGTATTAAAAGCGTTGCAATCGAGCTGTGGATAGTTGACTTTCGCGTTGACTGCGACATCTACACGTAGGGGTTTCCTGAGCTTATCTCTTTTCGTGTTCCACCAAAAATCTGAGAAGGCCCTACTTGGACGAGCGTTGGATGCAGCAGTTAGCTTTTCCGATAGCTGTTTGGAGGCTGGACCTACCGCCGCTGTTTACTCTTGTTTAGGAGACTGTACCCACTCCTCATCTTCGGCAAATGTGATGGATGGTCAATCGTAGAATCCCTAGTAAGTCGACTTGAACATAACGGATGTCAGATCGTGTTTGGAGCTGAATCGGGCTCAAGGCACGTGGGGACCAAACTCTACATTTTCGGATCTTCACAAGTCTTTGGAGATGCCACAGTGCTGTCTCCTTGTCGCATCGGAATCGCTCTAGCAAATGATCGATACTCCAGATCCCTTTTCAACAGCGTCAGATAGAGCATCGTGATTGTCAGTCACAGGGTGGTTGGAGTGTGGGTTATTTTCAAATAAAAAAGTCAACGCTGAGCAGAGTGAAGCGCCGTTGCACCGTGGTTTGAGAGAGCGTGCCCTCGCCCATCTTCTGGCCAATCCTTGGTCTAGCATGACTTGCGGAACATTCCAAGCAGTACTCGTAAAAATTAAGGGCACCGAGAGCCCTTTCGCGAAATCGGTGTAATATCCATAATAAGTAAGCAGACAACGAGCTGGACCGTTGGCTGAAATTGCAAAGGTTGATGCTACGTCAGGAAATATGTTGCGGATTTTCAGGAGTTCTCCCTAAAATTCTATAGCATTAAATGTAGTTTGTTGCAAGACTTATGGACCGACCTAATATTTACAATACTCAGCTAGTAGAAAACAACATGATCTGTTCAAGTGAGCCTTTATGTGTGGATAAATAAACGAAGACTTTAGAGCAACCGTCCTCCGTGCCGTGTACAAGGGAGCGGGATTTTTCGTTCAT